TACACTCTCAATCCCAGGAGTAACTAAAATATTTCTAAATGCAAATTGTAAGACGTACAAATTATGTGTGAAAAAAATAAGAACACCGTAAACAAAACATAAAATTATTTATGCAGCGTGTACACTGTCTATTAATTTGTTAGAAACTTCTTAAATATTATGAAAGTCTACACATCTATCTTACCAAGTGAACTAACGGAGCCCAAAAATCGTGTAAAATATTTCAACCACCATGGTGTATCGTCTAGAGTCTCCTTCTTCACGGTATTTTGTTCTTGGTTAGTCTGTAGGAAAATAATAATACATGGTTTAGTATTTAGTGCGTCGGCCATTTTGTTTTTAATTGTAAATACGTATGCCCAATATTTAGCTGTACTGAAACATTCAAATACCACTATCATATATTTTTAACTTTTTGTCAGTGTGAAGCACAACACACATACGTATTTGTATTTGATTCATACGAAAATTGTATATTGCATATAAATATTGAAGTGACTTATTTATTATATCAAAATAAATTATGCACTATACAAAAATATGGTGTATACTACTAAAATCGTATTGTATGTTCACGTTAAAATGAATTATCTATTATATGTAAAGTGTGTGTTATGCATTTTTAAATAATATATTGTACGCTTTGCTGAATTTAAATCCCGTATACTGCACAGCATTTTGATGTCATACCAACCTTTTGGTTAAAACTACAATGTAAATATGTTAATTTGTGGACTGTTACAGAAGTTTATTATAAAGTACAACAATACATGATAATAGCCATTAAAAATCTAAATGTGGCCTATACATTAAAATATACTACAGGATGGAGTACAAATCAGATAAGCATAGTGTATAATATATAGAAAACGTTATGTATGTAGTTGTTTCTCTTAACTTAAAATGAAATAAACCTGTTAGTTTTGAATATTTTACCTAAACATTTAAAAAACATTTCTACTTTTAAAACCATATCAAGAATTTACACATTGCAATTCAAATACTTAGCTACTTGTCATAAAGAGTATGACCTGGTGGTTAGGACTCTTGACTCACAATCTGAAGGTCGCAGGTTCGAATCCCCTCACTAAACATGATTATTCTTTTGGCTGTGGGGGGATACAGTGTAACAGTCAATTCCACTTCTCATTTGCAAAAGAGTATACCAGGAGTTGTTGATGGGTGGTGTTGACTAGCTGCCCTCCCTCTAGCCTGTCACTTCAAAATTAGGGAAGGCTAATGCAGACAGCCCTACAGTGGCTTTACACGAAATTAAAAACCAAATCAAACCATAAACAGAATAATTATTCAAAGTTTTAGAATAATAGATATATTTCCTTTGTATTACTTATTTTTCTGTCACTAACTTTGGAGCATATTACTTTTCTGCTGTATGGCTAAGAAAATAATAATGTTTAATTTGTTAATTTCAAGTTTTTTTTGTATATCCATGTATAGTGCTGTTTTTTATTAATGAAATCAAGGCTTAATTTAAATAACTACCAATCATTGGTCAGTCTATTTGAGGTTTGTTACTGAGTTGGATATGTTGTGTGTACAAAATGCTTGTACTTTTAGTGAATATAGACTGAAAAAGGCTACTTCTACTGAAGAATACTAATGATAGTTAGTAATAATAATGGTTTTAGAAATTACTTAAACTACTGTTCAAAGTATGTAAACATTCATTGAATTCAGCTACGTTTTCAAGTTACATCTTCAATAAAATTAGCCACATGACTAGAGGAATGTCTGTGGGGATGGAGCTTAAAAATTTATTAATCCCCTCATATTTTGGTATAGACATTTTTTTTTAATTACTTAATTACGTTTATGACTTTCTCAGTTTTTGATTTTAAACATTTATCATCATTAGCAAAATCTAATTCAAATAATACAAGGTCTCATCACTGAAAATTATAGTATTATTTCAAATACATTATTAAAGGCTAATTCTCCATGGTTTAAAGAATATCACCTAAGTGGCTATAACTTCCACACAAAAAGTGTTGGATGAACCCCTGCATATGACTTACAAAGTTGAAACAAGACAAAAAACATCTGTAGTTATTTAAAAAAACTGTTTATATAACACTGGTACTTGCTTGATAAGTATATATATATAAAGTCAACTGAATATGTATATAGAATTTGTAAAATTAAACTAAAGGACAGAAGCATGAATTTATGAAACTATTTGGCAAATCCAAATTTTGATGTGTGCAGTCTTCATGTAAGAGAGTTGAAAGTACTTTGAAAATGTTTTTCATTGTTAAGTTAGTATGAACTGAGAATTATTGTGAAAACTATGATTACTGAGTGTATTTTATATGTTATAATTTTGTTGTTTGCTAGATGGAGCCATTAATAAAGAATCTAGTAACTGTACAGAATATCAAAAGATGAGAATGAATATGGAATGTAGTTAGTTATTGAAAAGTTGAATAGTAATTAAGAAGTTAGTGAGTTATTCAGTGTGTGAATGCAGAGTAGTTGTTAATCAAGAGAAGATTGATCAAGTAAAGTTATTCAGTACAAGTTTGTGTTTCTGTAAGCTAATTATTAAGTTATTCAACATTTTTATCAATCAAGGAAATTTCTCTTAAAAGTTATAGTGGTTTCAGAGTTTATTTCATAAAAAGTTTGTTTGTGAACTTAGGCCTACAGTTTGCATCAAAGTGAACATCGTCTCTAGCAAACCTTATTGAAGAAATAAATTAATCTGTTACTATTGCATGGACATGACTTTGAATTATTTCACCAAATAATCCAAAAGAACTCACCCAATGATAGAACATGTTACAACAATATCATTAATGATTTAGACATAGTAGTAGGTTTAAAATTGTTTGTTACAGTACTCCACAGCTTATATTTATTAACATAAAATAAATGTTAATAGACTGGAAAAAAACTCGAGAAATTGAAAGACTGAATAAATTATTATCTATTTTTAGTAACCAGAATAAAAATAGTATTTCTAAACCAGTTTGAAGAATTCAAGATAGATTTACATTATATCATTAAATCCAAAATGCTGTCCTTATGCACAGGAACATTTAGATTGGATTTCATATTTTATTCTCCATGCTTGTCAATGATAGTAACAGCACCGAACATTATTTGGTGTAGACATATAGTCATTTACTTAACATCACCAAACATTATTTGGTTTAGGCATTTACTTAACACTAATAACCTAATAATGCTTGGAAACTGCTTGAATGTGTAATGAAGAAAAACTTTACTTGATGATGACAAAACCTTGTCGAAACGTTGTACATTTGCTGTTATGTTAAACTTATATCATAGTTTTTCTTCATAATGAATGATTAATTGTGACTGTATGATGTCACATTATCCAACATCTAAAGTATTGTTACAACAGCAGAAGTCACGTGATGCTAGTAACACGTCATGAGCTTCCAGAAAATTCATGTCCCTTCGTGAAGCCT